GGACCACTGAGGGAACAGCTACTCGCCGGAACAATGGAACAAGAGGAGGATCGAAATGCACCAATCACAGTCGAAACGTCTCGATCTACATCTCAAGTGACTACATCGTGAGACAAACGATAATACACTTTATTGTTGGCAAAAGTTATTTCTGAGGCGAGCGGCCCCATGCAAGTTGACCCAATTTGACCTTTCGAAGAGATTTTGTTTAACCAGGAAATGTAAACAATTTGACTAGTCTTAGCTCGCTTTCTGAGTAAACCATTGAAAAACCCTGCCATTTCCCATTAAAATTACCCAGTAAACCTGAGATAATACTTCGATGACAGCTCACATACTAAGTGGGTGTTTGAAGGCAAATAATTTTGATGTTCTTTGCTAATTTTCCTGTGTCTTGCTGTCGTGCTCAGCCACTGGCCTTTTCATACGGCTACGGCATTTTCCAAGTGTCACCTTTCTCTGGCTTGTGCAATATTTTTGCTGGACCTGGATCCATGTCTTGCATATAAAGCATCCTCCGGGTATTTATTGAGTTTTGTGTTGAATATTTCTAATGAAAAGGGGCAAGAAGTATGACGGGGCACCCTTAATTTTGTACGTATATTTTTATGATGATGATGATTATTGTACAGCAGTTAAAACGTATGATGATGATGATGATGATGATGATGACAATGGTGATGACGATGATGATGGTGATGTCGGTGACTATGACGATGGTGAGGATGATGAAGGTGTTGACGATGATGATGATGGCGATTATTATTATTATTATTATTATTATTATTATTATTATTATACATCAGAATAGATAGTAAGTAGCTTAGCTAATCAGAGAACGGCATTCGTCATAGAGCGCTGGAAGACTTACACTAATTAACAATTAGATTATCAGCTCGAGATTTCTATGAGGTGACATAAAAATCCATAGCGAATAATCTAATTGTTTTAGTAGAATTCTAACTGAAATTTACTTCAAATAACAGTTTCCAATTACTTCTCGATGTGTTATTAAACTTTGTGCGTTAGAAAGATCGCTCTGATCGAATTGTCATTTAAAATTAAAGTCGTGTGCGCGTTCCATAATTTTTTTCAATAATTTCAAGTCAAGTAAGTCGAGAATTAATGTTTTTCTTTTAGTCTTCTTAGGAATTGATTTATTCATATGCATCAAAATATTCCTGTAAAACTTTGTTTAAACGAAAAAATAACGTCGTCATCTCGCAGAAGAACTCCGGCCGCTGCACTCTAATGGCTTTTAGTATACAAGTAACTCGGCCAATCAGATCGCGGCATTTGCATTATAGTATACTAGTAGAATTCTACAGCTAAAACTCGATAGAAACACGCAGAATGTTTTCTTTTTCTCAATCTCAAAATTATTCTTTACATTCTACTTATTCAATTCAATCAGTATTATAAATACAAAGTAGTAAAACAAAATGAGATCTCGGACAATGTTGGTTAGCTCCTTAAAAGTTAACATTTTTTATATCATCCCATTTGCGGAGCCTTTTTACAGTTAACAGAGGAGAAAAGGGTTGGAGATTAATTCGTTGAGTTCTAGTTGAAAACGCCTGTAGGTATGTAGGAGTGTTTGACTCTCAGCATGTTGGTTGCATCTCCCTCAAGCGAAGCGTCTGAGATCAATCAGGGAAAACTACAGAGATCCCTCTTCGCCGGTTGTTTGTCTAATTTCAGTAATCACAGGTAGCTGTGTTCCTACGTCCTCAGTGTTGACGTTTTATCGAACGTCAGATATCTCCCTCGCGAGGCGCGCAACGAATACGCGACGATAGATTATCTTTTGTTTTGAAGTTACAAGAATAAAAATGATGGCTGCAGGCTTAGTTACATCTATCTATCTATCTATCTATCTATCTATCTATCTATCTATCTATCTATCTATCTATCTATCTATCT